ATGGCGATGTTTTGGTGCCCCCTGTACTTCTCTCTGTCTGTCTGTTTCTTTCACAATCGTCTGTCTTGGGCCAGAGGGATTTTTGCTACTAAGCCTAAATCCATAAAATTACAGAAAGATGAACATGTTGTTTAATAATGTTCTGCAGTGTATGCTTTGTATATATTTTTTATTTACATTCTTCATATATTTTTTTGTTTTGTTTGTTTAAATATTTTGATTTTGCACATTGTTTTCAGTATTTATTTCCCAGTTAGTGACTTTTGACATTATAACAATCAGCATAAATACAATAAACATTTTACTATGCTGACAATAAACATTTTACTAAAAAAGTTACAGATACAACCTAATTTAGATTCTTGTAATTTGTTGAAGATTTTCCATGTTGTAACGCTCAAAGAAGAAGAAAGAGAGAAGTACAGAAACATTTTGCATACACAAGGTAAAATTCTCAATTAGAAACTGAGCTGCAAACCCAAACAACAAACACCCTACCAAAAAATAAAATAATTATAATATTAAATATCACATGCAAGTTTAAAGAGACATCCAAACCTCAAGCGAAAAGAAAAAAAAAAAAAAAAAAAAGCTCCCATAACATTCATTAATAAATACCATAGATGTGTTTAAAGAACCATAAGGAACCCTGTGAATTAACCTTTTGCCTTATGTTTATATAATTCCACTGCATGTGAGCCATTTTTGTCTCATTTCAAGTAGAAGATACACATTGAAGATTAAATCTGAATGTATCTCAAATTCAGTGAACATATAATTCCAGCTTGTGCCAAAATTGTTAGCTTCTAAAATGCTCTAAAGCTGCAGTCACCAACCAATGGTGGTGGTCTGTGATAACTTTTTACTGGTCTGCAGAAAAATTGGGACATTATTTATATTTTTATGAAGATTCAGTTTAAAAAATGACAAGTAACAAAACCTATTATGAAATATGGATTATACTTTTTTTTATTTTTTATTTTAGTTACTACTTTTAGTGAAATTTCTTCTGAATTTAGCAACTTTTTAGCTGCTTTTTCAGGTGTATCTAGCAACACTGACTGAGAGTTGCCAGTGAAGAGTTGGCATCCATGGATATGTTGCTGTTAACAATATTAGCACAAACTGGAATTCTCTTTCCTTTTGAATTACAAGCATATGCTATTCTAGACATTAATAACACAGTTTTTCTCCGTGTCAATAGGCAGCTTGATTGATTTTTTTATGAGAACCATTTGCATTCTTGTTTGTAATTGCATCACTGGAAGTTTCCGTTTTTGTTTTGTTCAACTGGTGATCGATGGCACCATTGCTGAGTAAGCGATGGTTATTATGATTACAATAATTAAAAATTGGCAACATAACCCTATCAGTTTATTGATATTGCTTTGCTTTTGCTTTTCATGAAGTTTCATTTCAGTGATATGGAAATGTGAAGCTTTCTGTACAAGAAGGTAAGTTTTTTGTACTTTTCATGTAATTTTTCAATGTAAAAGAAATATGTGTAGTTTGCTGATTATTATTGTATAAATGTATTTACCATTTTGAATTCATATTAGTGGTTCACTAAATATAAAATTATGTATGTAGTGGTCCGTGAAGTTCTAAGGGTTGACGGCCGCTGCTCTAAAGCTCTGATACACGCGTCACCAGCGGGGGTAATTGTAACGCACTGTCACACTGACATGCCAGCCAGAAAGTAAACACACATATTGCTTGCTGGCACATTCGCATGAGAGTCAGCATGAAAGGGTTGATATTTATAAGATAATCAACTAGAGTGAATTACACATTTTATAAAAATGTATTCTGTTTTTCCCCTTATTAAAATATATTAATAATTCTTTTATCTACAGTTTTCCTCATCCGACAGGATATTACATAACATATAGCCATTTTATCCATTAACAGTGTTGCCAACTCACCCAATTTAGGTAGGAGATTCCCAAATTCCAGCTGTTCTCCCACCAACCCTTACAACATATAGCTGACTTTTTTTTTATTCTTAAAATTTCTCATGACTTTTATGTAGCTTAATATTTTGCCATTTGCCCCCCCCCTCCCAAAAAAAGTGATTTTGGCAATCTGAAAGCACTTGGTTTTCCTCTAGATTACATATAAAAGAAAAACAAAGTAGTTTCATTAGAGAGAAATTCTGGTGCTCTTCTTTGGGAGTGAGAACACATGTGTCTAAAAATGTCATGTTCCAGTTTTCCAGTGAGCATTGAGTGCAATTGCTCATCATCTAGCTTATATTAGCCAATGATCACAAAGCAAAGTCTCGGTTGTTATTTCGTTCATCTTGGAGTTGTTAACCCCTTAACTGCCGCGGGCGTATATATACTCCTTGCTCAGCCGATGCGTTAACTGCCCCAGGCATATATATACGTCCTTCCAAACTGCTTTCATTTGCTTTGTGCTGCTACACCTAAAATTATTTGCAAAGTTAAAGCATCGGCTGCGCATCTGGGGGGCAGTTAACGCATCGGCTGAGCAAGGCGTATATATACGCCCGCGGCAGTTAAGGGGTTAAAGAAATGGGTATGATAAATAAATATTCAGTAATTGATTGCGTTAAAATAGTTCTATTTTGCCGCTCTGTGAATGGAAGCAATAATACTGATTCAAAACTATATCCAATTGCTGCTTCTTTTTTTAACCCACTGCCTTTAGAAATTGAGTGTAGTTTACTTTCTGTCCCCACTTTAAAAGGACATTACACAGGCTTTAATATAGCACAGCTAATTATTAAAACTTTAAAAAGAAAATGCAATTCCTCTGGGTAGTTGCTTAGCACTTGGCGCTGATAATGCACCATTAATGGTAGGCTTGAAGACTGATGTTGCAGGTATCATAAAAAAGGAAAATCCAGATTTGCAAATTAAAAGGTGCACCTGTCACCTCTTAAATTTAGCAGCTGAAAAAAGGACAATAAGTATGGATGAACACATTGTTCATATTTATTGTTTTTTGAAAGAATTCCAAAAGGAAAGAAAAATTGAAACAATTCCAACAGCTGCATAATTCTAAAGTAAGAAAAATTTTGAAACATGTAAGATACAAAGCTGGCTATCTTTCAAGAAATGCTTATCTTGAATCCTCGATCAATGGAACCCACTTCTTGCATTTTTTTAAAGAGGCAAATGCTTCAAATGTTAAGATAAAAGGCTGTATTGAAAGTTATAGAATACCTAAAGTAAATGGAGGTATAGTTACTTCTTTCACTGTTTAAAGAATTGAGTTGGTTTAGAAAAAAGTAATTTCTGCACCAGTGAACAATTTAATTGGCAGTTCTCAAAATAATATTGCAAAATGTAAGTGTTAAAGCTGATACAAATTTCTCTCAAAATAAAAAAATTGCTCAAAAAGGGAAACGTTTTCCAATTACTGTAAGTTTATCTTGTGAAGAATGAATATTTGTATTTTTATCTTCATACCTTAACAAAGCCTTTTTGTACAATTCATTTTGCCATCATTCGATGTTCTTAGCACAGTTCTGCAAAGCAGAATTCCATTAATTCATGTTTTTTAATCAATGATTTATTACCTGTTTTGTTGTATTGTTGAGTGTAATAGGTTGCCAAGTATGCATAAGAGTGCTTCAGATTTAAAAGTTTAATTATATCACTTGTTAGCCATCGAGTATGTAATAATGTGAAATTGTATTTTATGCATTTTAAATTTTTGGGGGAGGGTAGTTTTTTAGATCTTGTGGCAACTAGTTTGCCAAAATATGACTTAAGAGCACCACTCTAAGCACAAAAAATTTTTGTCAGCCATAATTCTGCTGTTGTCACGAGAATAGCTTCAATACAGTTTTCTCAGCCCTTAAACTGCCACCATATTAATTCAGCAAAATAGAGCTAAAAATCATGCCATGCTATTATATTGTGTATGTATTAATGTGAAATACCAAAATCTGGAGAAAGTTGACGTTCTCCGGTGAATGTCAACTATCACATAGTCGCTTGGTGTATGTTTGAAATGTTTGTTAACCCTCCGAGCATTACGTGTTTAGCCCTGAAATTTTAAACTTCCTAAAAATGTCATGAATAATGGGTATTTCAAATAAATCTTGTTTATAATTAAAAAACAATTCTCTCACTTTTTACCTTGACTCCTTTTCTTCCATCATACATCCAACCTGAAATCAGATATATTAAAATCTGGCAGAAATTTTCGTGTTTAATAAATAATGAATACAAAAGCCACCCTTCTATACGGAATTTTCCATCCATAATGGTGAGAGGGTTAAATATCCTTATTTCTCACTCGCACTGGCAAGTATCAACATTCACCATGCACTGACAGTGAATGTTGAATAAAAATATTTTTAGCTCAAAGGAGCATTACCTCAGAAGGGCTATTAATTTTGTTTTGACATCTTGTGTCGATTCACTATAAACAGCAAATAACTTTTGAATTTGTTGCCACCAAATATTATCTCCCTGCATTATATTTAAAGAAATTAAGTAATGGTAAATCTGCATAAATGTATGTATGCTTTTTGCATTGTGATAAAACAACGGTATCTAGAGCCATCAAAGTTTGAATAATTGCGCTATGAAAAAAACGCCACCGCCTTCCACCCGAATATGGGCATCTGGAAGTCCAAATTAAAAAATTTGTTTTATTATCTATTTGTTATTTTGTAAAGCATTTATGAGTTTTTGTTTAAGAAACTGAATGATTTCAAAGTGAGGAATGGCAACAATGTGCGGGGGGGGAACATTTTTATCTCCAGCATGCCAGACTGCGTATTGGAAATTATCAGTAACACAGAAAACATTTTAAAAAATGCCCTTTTAGGCTTTTTTTTTTTTTTTTGTGTTTGCATCTCCATTAACATTCATATTAAACTTTGATGGTGCAAATTCAACAATATGATATATTTGAATTGTAGCCATATTTATAATTATATATGCAGTACTGTTGCAAAAAAAGTTATATTTCCTGATTTTCCCCCCTTTTGGAATAAATATTTTTTTTCTTTCCCCCAGACCAATTATATTTATCAGACTTAAAAAAAAACAAAAAATGTCTGGTGAAAACGAAGATGAAGGATTTGTGGTTCGTGTGCGTGGATTGCCATGGTCTGCTACCAAGGAGGAAATACAAAAGTTTTTTAATGGTAGGTAGAAAGCAAAACTTTTGTCATAAAGAATTTGATACTTAAATGTGGGTGTATTTTCAACTAAATTCAAAATGATCACATATTGTAAGTAATTGAGCATGTTTAACCATTTATACTAACAGACTTAATTTAACTTTAGAACAATCACTGATATCAATTAGATATCAACAATTAAATCTCTTAATTTTTGTTACAGTCTTTGAGGAAGGTTCTTAATAAAACTAAATTCATTCTGTAACATTTTCATAAGTATTTATTTCATTAAAATGGAAACAGAGAATGAAATTTTACAAAACAGTTGAAAAATTATCTATTCATGTTGAGAATGTTATATTCAAAGTGACGATAACTTTAATGAATATTATAACATACTAGCATCTTACTTGCAGTTTTTATTGTTATATTTTTATACATTTTTTATCTACCATTTTTATGCATGAAAATCACTTTCTATTTATATCAGTTTCATTAGATTTTAATTTTATTTTTTTGTGCTGTATGTATCAGAAAATTTTCTTGGATTTACATATCAAATTTTTCACGCTAATATTTTTTATTATTTACTGAATCTGTAATTCCTTTAGTAATAGCTGTACATATTAGTTTTTCTTGTGAGCAAGTCTGTTTTTTAAAAACTTAAATGCATTAATATTTTTCTCTTTAATCAGTATACTGTCAAGTGTGATGCCTGTGCTTTTATGCTTGAGCACATTTATGAAATATAATCCTTGCCAATTTTTAATCTTTCTAGAGTTTTTTAATGTTTATGTATTAGCTGGCCAGTACACTGGCAGAAATACACCCTAACTGTTATTGCTTGAGGGGTTTGGCAACCCTGGAAATTGTTCCAGATTTCTTCTAGAAGAATATTTTTTATTGTTTTTCAAGTTTTGTTTATGTTTTCTCTTTCTCTTTTTTTTCGGGGGGGGGTGCAGGCAGGTAAAAGGAAAATGGAATTGCTTTCTTTTATTTCAACATCAACTTCAGACCATTTAAAGCAGGTGCATATCTGCATTTCCTCCTATTTTTTGGGGTAATCCTTTTCTGAAGAAAAGTTCTCAACATGGTTTTGTTAATCTCATGTTAACTTTTACTTTATTTTGCATCATGCATTTATTAAAGTTTGCAAGAAATAAAGCAGATGCAATCCATCTTTTTTAGGCATGTGATATTTTATGAAAAAGTAGTGAGCGTTCCAGTTCTCATACAGTGAAACTGTACATAACAGACAATTTACAATGGCAATATCATGACAACAATAATTGATTTGTTAAAGTGTTAGAATAAGAACTGGCAGTTTTTTTTTAAAGAAGTTACTTGCTTTCTTATTTAACGAGACAGTTGTGTAATTTAATACTTGAATGTGATTGAAAAGCAGCACATGCTAGAAACCGAAAAAAACCATTTCATCAAGTTATCGATCTTGAAATTATGTTTCGCCATCAAAAGACAGCAGGGGATTGTATCAGCAGTATATGCCTAGTACCGAAGTACCATTTATTTTATTTAACTACACAGAAATTAAACTCATCTCAGAAGTCTGTTGTTATTCCACATACCTAAACAAATTAACAATGGACTATGGGTCAGTGGTTTATGGCTCGGCATGGCCTTCTACATTATTGAAACTTGATCCTGTTCACCACCAGGCTCTCCGGATATGTTCTGGGGCATTTAGGACGTCTCCTGTTCAGAGTCTATATGTTGCCTTATTTGAACCATCTCTCCAGTTAAGGCATGAGCAGTTGTCTCTTAGTCATTATTTTAATGTATTATCGCAGCCGGGACATCCTGGCAACACCATTTCGTATGGGGACTTGTTTGTTCGCTTGCTTGAAGCACGATTATCTTGCGTGCCTTCCTTCCTATTAAGAGTCCTGCCACTGATTTGAAGAAATCTTCTAACTTGAAGGCCCAAACAATAAAGCATTTTGGCATTGCACCTTGGAAAATGCACAAATCTGGCTCCTTAATGTTTTCCATCATTTGAATAAAAGCAATATGAGCGACATCATATATAAACAACTTTTTAATGATCATAGACATAAATACAGCAGCTTCATTCCCATATACACCAATAGCTCAAAAGCAGCCAATCATATTGGAACCTCTTTTGTAATGGTAACTCGTAAAGAAGGAAAGCATTGCATGAGGCTTGCTCGATGCTTACTGCGGAGTTGACTGCAGTGTACTATGCCCTTTCATACATATCAAAGCGAAGTCAGAAAAAGTTCATTATTTATTCTGACTCGTATAGTGCACTAAAAGCTCTGGAAGCATTTACTGATACCCGGAATTCTCTGTAGAAATTTTAAAATTGCATTTGAATTTAACTATTAGCGGATATCAGATTCTTTACTACACACATAGATAATAAGTGAAATGAACTGGCAGACGCTACTGCAAAATCTGCTGTGAGTTTCTCCACTAGGTTTGTTCCAGTTAGAGACATCCACATGGCCATCAAAAACAAGATCATAAATAAACGGCAGCAAAACAAGTGACTAAGCATCAAGGGTAAAGTTGAATATTGTTAGGCTGCTGGAAACCGGAGGGAGGAGGTAAATTTAACTCACCTTAGAATTGGTCATTGTCGTATTACTCATAATCATCTTTTAAAAGACGAAAGCGAATTTATCTATCCCAATTGTAATACTGTTTTAACCGTTCATCACTTTTAACTCAGTACCCTAATCATAACAGACTTCGTATGAAGCATTTTAACTGCTGTGACTTACCTATTCACCAAATAATTGGAAAAGAGGTCAACACACACTTATTTCATTACCTGCAAGAGTTGGGGTTTTTATCATTTAATCTGAATCATGTTTTAGAATATTCCTCTATATTTTAACATTGGATTTTAATATACACCATCTTTACATCTGTAATCATCTCATTGTTATATTACCTTTTATCCCTATCTCATTTTATATCTGGTTTTAAACTTGTATTTAGAAATATCTGTCACACATCTGGCCCAAATATTCATTCAGATTGTGTGCCAAAACTCAAACAAACAGAATATTTGAACCTTGGAAAATATAATTTCCTTTGTTGTGTATTACCACGTTCTTTACTGTTTATTTCATTGTATTTTTCTTAAAGATCCCAAGAAATTAATTTATATTTTAAAAATAAGTACATGATTAATTTTTTTTTTTTTTTTTTCCCTTTTTGTTTCGCTTCCATGCAGGTGTTAATATTAAGAATGGTGTAGATGGTATCCATATGACACTTTCTAGAGAAGGAAGACCAAGTGGAGAAGCATATGTGGAGGTTGAAACAGAAGAGGATTTAACTAAAGCATTAGAAAAGCATAATGATCATATGGGTCATCGATATATTGAAGGTAATTTCTCATCATCATCATTATTATTGAAGCAAAGTAGTAAGTGCAGCTGCTACATTGGGCTATGTGTATAGCAAAAACAGCTGATATTTGGAATATGGTATCATATGATTTGGTAACTATGATGATGATTTGTATGATGATAAAGACTGCTAGCTGGGATTCTAAGAATTTTACGTATTAACAACCTACATTAAATAAGTTGCATATTTTAAGTAATCAAAGTATGTGTTTTCAGCTAATATGTATTAATTTAATAAAATATATTCTGTAATTTAAATTTTATTTATTTTCAACCATTTTAATGTTTGCATAATTTCACATATATATCTTTTTAAGGTTTCGTAGTTGCTAATTTAGAGAACAAAAAAGAATTTGTTATTCTTGTTTTATAAATATTCTTAGATGCATTCATGTGAAGCATTGTAGTAATGTTTCCACATTGCGATTTTTGTTCATGAATGTTTGATAAAAAATTCAGCAAATATGGCTCTGGTATGTCCATACTCATCTAAATATGGCAATGTGTGACTTTTCCTAGTTTCCACAATTTTATTAATTAAAAATTAAATCAATATAAACACTTGTTAGTGTGTTTACTGATATTATAATGAAGTTTTAAAGAAATTTTGTCAATATGGTTTCAGCATATTAATGTAGTACACCTGAGTTTTAATTTTCTCGAAAAATCTGACTACTAATTTGTTTATAATAATTGTTGAACTATTTTTCCAGGACCTACCTATTTAACTGATAGTTTGGGCTTCGATGGAGCTACAAATAGAACTAAGTCTCTTTCTTGAAATTTACGCTCTACGGCTTTGTGATTATACAAGAGTTTTTGCTTTTTTTTTTGCTTCTTCCATATGCTGGACAGTGAGTTCTTGACATCTCCTCATTCGATTCATTAGTTAAAAAATATAGTCCACTACTGTATATTACTCTTCTTTACCAGATAATTTTTCATAAAATTGGAGTTCTTAAGTTTCTGCCGTGAACTAATTCTTTGGGCGAGAAACCGGTACTGTTGTAAATAGTGGTTCGAAGAGCAAATAAAGCCTGAGGTAAGATTTTATCTCAGTCCAGACCAGATACTAGTCATAGGACTCAAAGAATTCTTTTTAAAGTTCTGTGCTTCCTCTCTACAGGATTGCTTTGTGGGTGGTAAACAGAACTTTGTAAAACTTTAATTCCAAATTTTTCTAGGAAATTTGATGTCAGCACACTTGTAAAAGATGTGTCTTGCACCTCCTTTCGAAATCCCATTCAATTAAAAAAAGGAAAACATCAACAATCGTGGTTGAACAAAGATTTGCGACAGGAACTGCATCCGGATATTTTGAAGACATGCAGACTGCAGTTATAATATACTTATTTCCTGAAGGTGTCATGGGCAGAGGCCTATGTGCATCAACATTTATTTTTGAAAACATTTTTGTGATAACGGGCAATTTTCAAAGATGCGCTCTTTTTGTCTTGCGGCTTTCCAATTCTCTGGCATTTGACACAAGTTTTAACAAAATTCATGACATCTTTCTAACAATTTGGCCAATAAAACTTTTTGAATAATGTATCTTTGGTCTTTGTTGCACCAAGATGGGCTGCTATTTCTTCATGACAAATAGTCATCAGCTGTTTTCGATATTTTTCAGGACAACAATCAATGGTCTTTGTGTTCCATCACAATCTTCTTTTTTGAAAAAGCGCATTTGGCCTTTCAACATGTACCTCGTACTTTTAGAAGATTTTATTTTAGCTATTTCATAAAGCGGCTTCAATTCGACGCTCTCCTTCTGTTGTATATATATTTCTGGAAAGGCCTTTATCAGATCTAATTCTGAAAGTTCATATTTCACAGAAGGTAAACTTTAATTTTCAGTCGGGGTGTCTTTGTTATTCAATTTCAGAATTTACCCATCTGTTGAGACCAGATTTTCCGTTTCTTTTAGTCGTCGCTGTTGAGCATGAGTTTGTACAGTGTTTATCATATAACTTTGAACTTCTTTATCTAGATTTGCTTTTCAAATAATGCAGCGATTTTGTTACCTAGAAGAAACCTTCCTTGATCAAATTAATTTTTTAAGACTGCAGCCTTTGCTGTTATATGACCAAGATCACATTCAAACTCTGCCTCAGCCTAAGGTAAGTACACTGGATGTTCTTCCAGTGGTGTTCGTATCCACATGGTGTCACCTGTATACACGGAAAGCTGTACATACTTTTGGCAAATTAAATCCGAAGTTGCACCGGTATCTCTAAGTATGGGCATTTTATAGCCATTTGCTTTACCTAGGCTGGTAAATTCTTCTTGAGTTTATCATACTGAGATCAAAGATGCGACCCATAACAACTAGGTTGTCTCCATTTCTCAAATTCCATTTCATGAATTTTTTTAGTACGTTCTGTCTGGCTTAGGATTAAAATCTTTCGAGATTTCTTTAGGATTATGTCTATTATGATAACCACTTTGCATTTTTTCATGTTTTGATGACATTTTTGAAGTTTTAAACCTTGTTTTGTAGGATTTACCCTCTTAAAATTCTGTTTAATACTCTCATACTCATCTAATTTTTCTGCTAGCTCATATGGAGTTTTTAATTTCATCCATTGGTCGAGAAAATGATCCTTAAATTCCATGGGTACCCTATATTTAATTTGCTCGGTAACTATTAAATCTTTCAGATTCTCAAATTTCTTAATTTCTAAATCTGCAATCCACTCCAAAAAGTAACTATAAGTTCTTGAGCGTAATTTCACCAAGATTTTTCAGGAGTCTTTTGATGTTGTTTAAAGCACTGTTTTATCTTTTCACTGTCAAACGTTTATATCTTAAGATTCGATTTTTCACATGTTCATACTTAGTTGCATCTTCAGATGGTTCTCTGGCTAACATATTGGAGATTTCAGTTGGTAAAACACCCAAAAGATAAGCCATCCAATCTTTCTTAGGAACCTCTGCCATTTCAGCTTTTCTTTCAAAATTTATCAAATATAGTCCCATTTCATCCATTTTTTTGTCAAATTTTGGAGTAATTTGTGATACCTGGATTTTGTTGCTTGATTCTACTATATTCTTTGTTTATTCTCTAGCTCGCATTGATAAAGCGGCTTGAATTTGGAAATCAAGTAAGTTCGTCCCACTTCCTGAGCCAGGCATTCTCTCCCTTCTTGAGCCAGACATTCAGCAGTTATTCAGTTTAGAAGTAATTTAACTTCTTCCTCATTGTAAAACTAACTAAACTGACTGATTATTTTTTTAATTTCTGTGACCTTACTAGTTAGCAGCACTTCCTCACCTAATTCTTTGGCTACTTCTATTAAATCTTGTTTTCTACCCTTGGCAAGAAATGACATTTTTAGAAATAGAAAAACTCTTTGACAGCATTTGAAAATTAATTTTAAAAGGCGTTTAGCCAATATTCAAAAATTCAAATTAACCTGCTCAATCTAGCCTTTTTTTTTTTATTAGAAATTCAAGTATGACACAACGTATTTTTTCCCCCTAAAACATTTAATGCATAAAACGTATGTGCTTTCCGATAAACAAAAATCTGTGAAGCTTGCTCTTAATAAATTATACTGAAGTAAATAAATAATAAAAAAAAAAAAACAAATTCAAGCCTCTAACTTGATTCACACAACAAAATTCTTGATTTGGGACTCTAATACAAAAGCTCAAATTTAAGAATAGGAATATTATAATATTAACGTAATAAATTCGCTACTCTAATGCAAGAGCTCAATTTTTATAATACAAATATTCTAATACTATTAACACAATAAATTTGCCACTCTAATACAAGAGCTCAAATTTTAACAGAACATCATAATCAGGTTAAATATGTTGATGCTTTAATCCAAAAGCTTAGAATATTAGTTGAATCCAATAATAAGTTGAAACATTTTCATATAAAATGGCACAGTATTCATAAAAATTTATACTCGCACATACTGTATTTCTTTTGTTTTTAAATAAACACTGGTTTCACCTTTCTAATAAACACTGGTTTCACCTTTCTATCCCAGTGACTACCACCAAGATATTTATTCTTTTATATGTCTGTAATGAAATTTTAAAGAAATCTCACCATTTTTTCATCGAACAACTCTTTATTAGTCAAACTTAGAGAATAATTGAAAAACATTTTTAAGCATGTTCATCTTCCGGCATGAATATTCTATGTGCAAGGTTTTCTTGTATTATATTGGTAGCGTAGCAACACAAATACGTTACAATATAAAGAGTGAAAGAAAATTAATTGCAAGTCTTGCACAGCTTGTACAGTAAAGCCTTTGAAATATATTTCATTAATTGAGAAAAAATGTGGCCATTGATGTTGAAAGAGATTACTTTGAAGGGGATAGAATAAATATTGACTGATATATTGAAATCTTATGATTTTGGAACTTTTTGATCAAGCAGTATGCAAGACAAAAATTTTTTAATTTGTGATAGCTAGCTTAGTCTTTTTAATTTGGTTATTTCTGCTTGCTGGTGTGTAAAAATAGTAAAATACTTATAATTTCTATCATATGATTCTTATATAATGCACATAGTTATGTAACAGTAAGATGAAGTTTTCCCATTAATAATAAGTGAAAGGCTTTTATAGGCCAATAATAATAACACAATATTGTGTTCTGCTAAGGAATAACAGGGTTCCTAGCGGTCCTTACAAGTGCTTATAAGTCCTTATATTTGAAAATAAAATATAAAGGCCCTTATAGGTGCTTACTTTTTCTTTAAAGCCCTTATTTTTTTGTTTTTAGTGCTTATTTTTTGCTTTTAGTGCTTTTTTTTTTTAATCCTTTTTTTTTAATGAAGCATGCACATTTTTCCCCCTGTACCAAAGCCGAAACTAAATAAACAACTTCTCTTCTTTCTTATATGGCAACGTCAGATGGGTGAATCATACTCCCGAGAAATTAGCTTTTCCCCCCCTGTCCCCCCCTTCCTCTGCATTAATGTAACCTATGATGCGCGCGAGAGTACAGACAGG